TGACACTGGCCAGCACATTTCTCTCTAGAATTCCTTGATAGTCTTGAGATTTCCTTGTACCCCGCACAGATTCAAGACACCCTGTGCCAGATGCAGCAAAGCAGCCCCAGAACATAACAGAGTCTCCTCCATGTTTCACAGTAGGATACTGATATGCTTCATTTTTTTAGAGCTGATGTGCCTTGGCAAAAAAGTTCCATTTTTGTCTCATCTGTCCACGGGACATTCACCCAGAAGCTTTGTGGCTTGTCAACATGTAGTTTGGCATATTCCAGTCTGGCTGTTTTATGATTTGTTTTCAACAATGGTGTCCTCCTTGGTCGTCTCCCATGTAGTCCACTTTGGCTGAAACAATGACGGATGGTGCGATCTGACACACATTCTTTGAGCATGAAGTTCACCTTGGATCTCTTTAGAAGTCTTTCTGGGCTCTTTTGTTACCATTCGGATTATCCGTCTCTTTGATTTGTCATCAATTTTCCTCCTGCAGCCACGTCCAGGGAGGTTGGCTACAGTCCCATGGATCTTAAATTTCTGAATAACATGTGCAACTGTAGTCACAGGAACATCTAGCTGCTTGGAGATGGTCTTATAGCCTTTACCTTTAACATGATTATCTATGATTTTCTTTCTCATCTCCTGAGACAACTCTTTCCTTTGCTTCCTCTGGTCCATGTTGAGTGTGGCACACACCATGTCACCAAACAACACAGTGACTACCTGGAGTCATATACATAGGCCCACTGACTGATTACAAGATTGTAGACACCAGGGATGCTAATTAGTGGACACACCTTGGATTAACGTGTCCCTTTGGTCACATTATTTTGATTCTCTTCTAGGGGTACCATCATTTTTGTCCAGGCCTGTTCCATGCATTTATTTTTTAAATAATTACGTTGAAGCATGGTTGAAAAACAATGTCTGACTTTCATTGGTTAACATTCATAGAATTTTTAATTATTAAGACTTTTGTCAGATGAAAGTTATTTCTGTGAGCATTGTGAGTTTTTCCTTTATTGACTGAAGGGTATCAACAATTTTGTCCACGTCTGTAACTCATTGCTTCGAATATTTGAGATGTGCATGTCTTTGCTTTTTTTGGCAAGAGTTTAGTGAGAAGCATTGTATCACTAAGAAATGTGTATCTATTGTCAGCCGTAAGTTAGCTTCACCTTGTAAGTTTAATCTATAGTTTTACAATTTACTGGCATGCCACAGCGGCCAGACTTTGCTGTTTTGTCTTATTATCAGACTGAACTTGTTAACTTGGTTTTAGGACTAACTTTAAATGTAAATTTAAAATGTAAACGAAATGCTTTACATTAAAAGAAGCCATGTGTGTCATCATTTCGACAACAGCTTTAAAAATATAAACCTTATGGTTTCCATAGGACAGTTTAGTTAATCACTTCAGATAACTGAACTTTTAACCTTTCAGAAGCTTGCTCTGTCAACCAATAGGGTGATCTGACACGACAAAAAGCACGACAAACACTGACAGGTACATTGATCCTGCTTCACATTCCCACGTTATTAGAATGGGACAATAGTGGCAGCTCATTGACAGTAATGAGGACACACACAACCTCACACACACTGTCAATACAACACAAACCGTTCAGCTGGTCAGCTTTAAAGTCTGCATCCATCACTCCGTTTGACACGTGCACTCTCCAGCTCTTTCTGTTCAT